TGGTTGCACCAGTTTGCTCTCCCAACAGCCATGAATGAGTATTCTCCTCTTCTGACATCCATGCCAGTATCTGTTGTCTTTTGTTTCCTTGGTCTTGGCCATTCAGACTTGGGTAAGATGAAATCTCAAAGTAGTGGCTAAAGATACTAAAATTTGTTTTAAATGTTTCTCAGCCATTTGTATCTTGACTCTTGAGAACTCTGTTTAGATCCATAACCCATTTTTAACTGGGTTGTTTGTTTTCTTCATATTTTTGAGTTCTTTGTATGTTCTGGACAATAGCCCTCTGTTTAAAATTTTTTCCCCCATTCTGGAGGCTGCAGCTTCCCTTGAATGGTGGTGCCCTTGTTGTATGGGAGTATTAGTTTCATGTGGTCCCACTTGTCAGTTGTTAGTCTTAATGCCTGTGCTGCTAGTGTCCTGTTCTTTATGACCTTTCCTGTGCCTCTAAATTTACTCAAATTTAGATTAAAAATATTCCTCACTTTTTCCTCTATGAGATTATGGATATCATCAGGCCTTATGTCAAGGTCCTTGATCTATTTTGAGTTAAGCTTTTTGCAGGGTGAGAGATCCAGATCTAGTTTAATTATTCTACATGCAGACATCCAGTCTGACTAGCACAATTTGTTGAAGATGTTGTCTTTTCTCCAATACATACATTTGGCTTCTATTTCAGAAATCAGGTGGCCGTATTATGTGGATTATGCCTTGATTTTCATTCCACTGATCAACTAGGCAGTTTTTATACCAGGACCATTCTGTCTTTATTACTACTAGCTCTGCAGTATAACTTAAAATCAGGGTTAGTGGCACCTCTAACAGGTCTTTTATTGTTCAGGGTTGTTTTGGCTATCCTGAGGTTTTAGTATGTGTGCACATGCATGTGTGCATGTCTGTACGTGCCTGTACATGCCTGTGTGCGTGTGTGTGTGTGTGTGTGTGTGTGTGTGTGTGTGTGTTTCCAAATGAAATTTAAGATTATATTTTCAAACTCTGTGAAGAAATGAGTTGGATTTTTATGGGATTGCATTGAATCTGTAGATTGCTTTTGACAGGATTCCACTTCACAATGCTAGTCCTAAGTATCCATGAGCACAGGAGGTCTTTTCATTTTCTGGTGTCTTCTGTAGGGAGACACCCTAGCCCCACCCAATAGTCCTGGGACAGGTGCCAGGTGGACCCGGGACTCGCCCATAAGGGCATGGTGAAGGAAAGCCGGGGTGATGTACGGGAAGGTTCTTAAGGGCTGCACGTGGAGACCCTGGACCCTTCTCTTTGGCCGCGCTAGCTTGGTTCCTGTGACCTCGCTCTGGCCTGCGTATTGCTCTGGTGTTTTCCTGAATAAAGAAATCTTACCATCACAGACTATAGGTCATCTCTGAGTGCACGCGGTAATCTTAAGAGTCTTCAATGTCTTAAAATGTTTATTATATATTTTTCAATTCCATAGATTTAGTCAAAGATATTTTTCTGATTTCTTTCCAGTTCTTCCTTTGTATATAGGAAGGCTAATGTTTTTTGTGTGTTAATTCTGTTTCCTGCTTCTTTGCTGAATGCATTTATGAGCTATAAGCTTTCTCTGGTAGTCTTTGGAATCTTTTTTTTTTTGTATGGAATTATATCATTTGCAACTATGGATAATTTGACTTCCTCTCTATCTTATTAGTATTCCCTACTTCCTTCATTATATTATTGCTCAAGTTAAGACTTCAAGAAGTACATTGAACAGGAATGGAAAGAGTGGATATCCTTACCTTATTCTTGATTTTAATACAAATGCTTTGATTTTTCTTTTTCTCCAATTAGTATAATGTCAGTACATTGCTTTTATTATGTTAAGCTATGTCCCCTGTATCCCTAGATTCTTCAAGATTTTAATCATAAAGAGATACTGGACTTTGTAAAAAGTTTTTTCTAAGTCGAATGAGATGATCATGAGGTTTCTGTCTGTAGGTCATTTTTTTATTTATATTAAACCATCCCTGCATCTTGTTGATGTATCCACCTTGATCCTGATCATCTATCTGATGTGTTCTTGAATTTGGTTTTTAAGTATTTTATTGAGAATTTTTGCATCTATGTTGAATAGAAAATTTGGCCAATAATTTTCTTCTTTTCCTGATGTGTGTGTTGGGGAGGGGGGAGGAGGCAGTGGGGTTGGATATTTGTCTGGTTTGTGTATCAAGGTGATCCTGGCTTCATAAAAATAATGTTAAAGTGTTACTTTTCTAGTTTATGAAATAATTTAAGGACTGTAGTTGTTCTTCTTTGAAGGTCTGAAGGTTTGAAGACTTTGAAGAATCTATCTGGGTTGAGCATTTTTTAGTTGGGAGTTTTATTATTGCTTCCATCTTATTGGCTGTTATGAGTCTATTTAAATTAATTACTTCAATTTGATTTAACTTTGGCAGTCATATGTATTAAGAAATTCACCCTGTTTTATTTTTTTTCCAGTTTGGTGGAATATAAAGTTTTATAGTACATTGTGATTCTCTGAATTTTCTCAGTGTCTATTGTAATGTCTCCCTTTCATCTCTGCTTTTATTAACTTGGGTAACTTGGGTCTTCTCTTTTTCTTTTTCTTTCTTTCTTTGTTTTTTTTTTTTTTTTGGTCTTTTGGTCAATTTGGGTAAAGGTTTGCCAATCTTGATAATCTTTTCAAAGCACCAGCTCTTTTTTAAATTGACTTTTTGTATACTTCATCATTGTTGTTTCTGTTTCACTGACTTCAACCCTGACTTTTATTATCACTTCCCACCTGCTCTTTTTGAGAGTTGTTTGCCCTTATTTTCCATGACCCTCAGGTTTATCATTAGGTTATTAATGTTCAGTCTCTCCAGTTTTTTATGCAGGCACTTAGTGATAGAAACTGCACTTATGAATGCTTTCATTGTGTCCCATAGATTTGGTATGTTGTGTTTTCATTTTCATCCAGTTCTAGGAAGTGTTTAACTTCCTTCTTGATTTTTCCATTGACATAATTTTCATTCAGTAGTATAATGTTAAATTTCCATGAGTTTGTGTACTTTCTGTTCTTTCTATTGCTGTTGATACCCACCTTTATTCCTTTGTGGTCAGATAACGCAAAGGATGTTGTTTCAATTTTCCTGTGTAAATTAGTTGAGACTTGCCTTGTGTCCTAATATGTGACTGATTTTGCAGACAGTCTCACGGGCTACTGAGAATAAATAAAATGTATTCTAAAGTGTTTGGGTAGACTGTCCTCTAGATTTCTGTTAGATCTATTTGATTTATAATGTCATTTAGCCCCACCATTACTCTATTTAGTTTTTGTCTGGATCAGTAAGAGTGGAGAGTTGAAGTTTCCAAATATCACTGTGTCAGAGTTAGTCTGTGACTTTAGATTTAATAGCATTTATTTTTATGAAAGTGGGTGTCTCTCTGGTGCACAAATATTTAGGACAGTAATATCTTCTTAGACTTTTTTCCTTTAAGGAGCATAAAATGTCCTTCCATGTCACTTTTGATTAGTTTTGGATTTAAATCTATTTGTCAGGTATTAGAATGGCTATATCTGCTTGTTTCTTTTTTCCTTTCGTGTTCAGAATAAAAATCCTTCGGGGCCACAGCTGTGTGTGCTTGCCTGCTTGGTTGACAGGACTACACACCCTTTTGCAGAAGTAAAACTTTTTGCCTTGCTGAAATTCTTTGGATCGTGTGGTCATTTTCTTGGAACACTTAAATCCATTTCTAACACCCAGGTTGTCTCAAACACAAGGTCTTCCAGCCTCTGCTTCTGAAGTGCTAGAACCATAGGTATACAGCATCTTGCCTGACCTATACTTGATTTCCCCAGAATGAATTTAATGTACACATCTTGGGGAAAAAGTTAAATAGTAACAAGATATAAACATCCCAGGAAAAAGTTAAACTGTAACATAGAAAATTTTATTTTGATTCAGTGGAAAATAAATCACTTAGCAATGAACCTAAGTTTAAACAAAGATGGATAATTATATAGTAGCCATTTTGAGTCAATATGAAAATCTGTTAATAAAAATATATAGATTAGTCAGATGTGGTGGTACATGCCTTTAATTTTAGCACTCGGGAGGCACAGGCACAGTGTGTGTGTGTGTGTGTGTGTGTGTGTGTGTGTGTGTGTGTATGTGTGTGTGTATGTATCATGTGCGATTATATATATAATATATATATATATATATATATATATATAGAGAGAGAGAGAGAGAGAGAGAGAGAGTTGTATAATATGTAATGTAGCTGTTTGTAATGATGTGTGCTGTCATCACACCTACTCAAGAAGCAGGAGGATCACTTGTGCCTATAAGCTTGACGTCTTCTTGACAACACAAAGATTCTGGCAAGAAAAAAGAAAGGGTATTGCTTTAAAAATGAACACTCTGAAGGCAGAGGCAGGTGGGTCTCTGAGTTCAAGGACAGCCTGGTCAACACAGCAAAGAGTTCCAGGTCATCCAGCCATCCAGAGCTACATAGTGACACACAGTCCTTTAAAAAACAAAACAGTGGAAACAAAACAAAATGAACTATGTTGGTTTGCATTCTTACTACCCATAGGCAACTAAAGTGAACCCACTGAATACCTATCAGAGCTGAACAATGCTAGGTTATTATTCCCAGAATGCCAGTCCTTTCCATCAGTTGTCACCTTCAAATGCTACACAAAATTATGCCTCTGTCCTTGGAAGTTCATGCCATTTGTTACATCACTTGGAAACAGCTTAGTTAGAGCAAATCAGTTAAGGCAAGACATGTTCCCAGTTCTCTCTCCAAGCCAAATACACTGTTAGCACCTTTCTGTGTTCATATAGCATTCACATAATTCCTTGGGGGTACCAGTAGCTTTGTTAAAATTAAACTACATACCAGGTTCTCCTTTATTGGCCCACAATGAGCTACTGCAGGTGTGTGTTGCTGTCAAAGCACTCAGGGTCCCTGGCACATCACACCACCACTGCTTCCCATTTTCTGGACTGCCTTCCATCACAATAACTTGGCCATCTGAAAAGGATACAGCATTAGCAAAAATAAAGATACTTCTTTGTTTCAGTTTTTATAACACCACAGAATGTTAGAACCATGGATGTGATCACATTCCTCATTTTATTAATAAAGAGACGAGAGACGTGTGTGTGTGTGTGTGTGTGTGTCTGTGTGTCTGTGTGTCTGTGTGTGTGTGTGTAAACAACTTCACTGTCTTTTTGTCACATGTTAATGAGAAGAGGGTCATATTTATTTTGTGCACTGTGTTAAGTTTCTATGTGCTTGTTTTTTTTTGTTTGTTTGTTTTGTTTTTTTGTTTTTTGAGACAGGGTTTCTCTGTGTAGCTTTGGAGCCTATCCTGGAACTCGCTCTGGAGACCAGACTGGCCTTGAACTCACATAGATCTGCCTGCCTCTGCCTCCCGAGGGCTGAGATTAATGGCATGAGCTACCAACACCCAGCTTATGTGCTTGTATTTTAAGTTGAGTTCACCCTCAGATGTCTTACTGAATTTTAAGTCAGCTCATACACTTAAATAACTCATTTTAGTGATACACTCTTTGCCTTTGGCACCCAAAGCAGACTAGTTACAGGACAACTGATGATATAAAAATCTCTGCATGTGGGCCAGAGAGAGGGTTCAGCAGTTGAAAGCACTTGCTGCTCTTGCAGAAAATTCAAGTTTTCTTCCACCTGAAACTCCAGCTACAGGGAGATGCTATGCCTATGCCCTCCACAGGCACTGTTCAAATGTGTATATATCCACATACAAACACAAGTATACATAATTAAATATTTTAAGTACACATATGATTAAATAGTTTATATGCAATAGTCACTATTTGCATAAAAGCTATACACACTTTCGCACACATTTTTATAGGGGTTGGGGATGAGTTCATGTCTCATGCAGTTCATACTAGCTTTGAACTGTCTAGGTATCTAAGGATGTTCTTGAACTACTGACACTCCTGGTCTCCATCTCTACCCTCCAAATGTTTGATTACATCATGTGTCACCATGACTAATTACCAGCACACTGCATTTTTTTAAGATTTAAGTTTTCTTATTTTCAGTAATTATGTATATATGGGTTTGTGCACCTGGTTGCAGTACTTGAAGAGGCCAGAGGAGGGAGTTAGATCTCCTACAACTAGTTACATGGAGTTGTAAGCCACCATATTTGGGTGCTGGGAACTGAACTGCTGAACCATCTCTCCAGCCTATTCCATAAGCTTTAAATTAGCCCTAGATGACTTATCCAGCACAATACAATGTAAACACTGCATACATCATCATTGTTATACTGTACTACTTAGGAAACAATGACCAGAAAGCATCTGTATGTGTTCAGCATAGATGAAAGCTTTTTTTCTGAATATTTTCCACTTGAGACTAATTGAATCCATGGATATATATAGATGGCTGTCCACTCACCTTATATCATAGTTTTAAATTTTAACCCATTCTCAGGGCTAAGTGATAAAGAGGAACAAAGAAAATGAGCAATAAAAATCTTCGCTACTTATTAAGATAACTTCCAAGGGCTTGGGAGAGTTTGCTTGACCTCAGAACCTTGTGCATGCTAGACAAGCCCTTGACAGCAAAGTTGCATCCTTGACCCTAAGACTAATTTTATTGCTGAGGGGAAAAAAATGATGATGAAATTTCAAGGCTTTAATTAAGCTGGTGTGGGGAATTGAGTCAAATAGACTCCCCTCCTTATTTCCCCTTTCTCGTTTAGGAAAGACAGCAGGAACGATTTTCTTCCTTTCTTTTCTTTCATCAACTGCTAGGATAACTAGCAGGCAAGTCTCAACTTGATACTACTGAGACCAAAACAATGTCTGTGTAAAATGTTTAGTGACTGAGAAGTGACAACTATCCCAATACAATGTGTATGGGCAGAGCAGCTGTGCCAGGCCCTGGTTTTCCCTGGCTGCTGGTTGACAATAACTGACCACAGACTCACCATCAGGCATGGTGGGACAGGTGGAGGTGACATCTGCTGTTGCCATTATTTGCAGCAGAGCCTGAGGTGCTCTAGTATCCCACTGCCTCCTGTTCTCCACAGCAACGGTATCTGGAAAGAAACCCTCTGTAAGAGAATAACTCATTAGTTCCATGGCAGCCAGAGTATAATGGCAGCACTGAACAATTCCTAGGGCCTGTCCCAGTTTGCTTTCTATTGTAACAAACACCATGACCAAAAGCAACTTTTGGAGGAAAGGGTTTACTTTATCTTACAGCATACAGTTCATAGTGAATGAAGTCAGGGCAGGAACTCCAGGCAGGAACTGAAGCAGAGACCATGGGAGAGTGCTGTTTAATGGCTTATTCTCAGGCTAACATTCAGCTCCCTTTCTTCTACCTCCCCAAATCACCTGCCCTCCTACATCAATTATCAGTCAAGACAATGCCACACAGGCTTGCCTGTAGGCCAACCTGATAGGGGTTGAAACTGAAACTCACTCTTCCCAGATGAGTAGAGGTGACATAAAACTAACCAGCACAAGGACTCAAGAGTAGGATGTCCAAGCCACAGGAACCACCACTTGGGCTTCTAACAGATCCAACATAGAAGACTGAAACTGCAAACAGCTTTCAAAGTTGTTCCATTTTATTGTTAATGTTTGATTATCCCATTTAACTAAGAGCTAAGGCAATAAATGAATGGACAAATCACTGAGATGTCTGTAAGAATTCTCATTTGACTGTTTCTACCGATGCAATCTCTGTTTCCTTTCAATCTCTCTCCCCACAATGTGCCCTTTTCTTTGTCCCAGACAGGCTTGGAACTCATGGCAATTTTATCCAGCCTCCCATGTACTAAGACAGCAAGCAAGAGCCACCATACCCAGATCCACTTTTAAAAATATATTTATTTTATTATTTGTGTATGTGAGTATGTGCAAGTGGCCAAAAATGCATCTGATCCCCTGGAGTTGGAGTTTGGTTTAGAGCCACCTGGTGTGGTTGCTGGGAACTATATTAAGGTCCTCTGAAAGAAAACCAAGGGCTTTTAACTGCCATGTCATCTCCCCAGCCCCAATTCCATTTTCTCTTTTAATTTTTAATTTTTTTCATTTTTATATGTATTGGTATTTGCCTCCATATTTTTCTGTGTACCTGGTGTCCACAGAGGTTAGAAACAGGGTGGGTGTCAGGTCCCCTGTAACTGGAGTTACAGACAGTTGTGACTGCCATGTGGTGCATGGAATTGAACCTGGGTCCTCTGCAAGAATAGCCAAAGCTCCTAACCGCTGAGCCATCTAGGCCCAAATCCATTTTTTTAAGTTAAAAAATAGACCTGTTGAAATGGCTCATCAGGTAAAGGCCCTGCTGCCAAACCTGACAATCTGAGTTCAATCCCAGCTTGAGAAACAACTCCTCCAAGTTGTCCTTGGAAGTCTACGTGGCACAGACACACACGCACACATGCACAGAGACACATACATCACACACATACAAGTTTAATTTAAAAATTAAGGAATTAAATTATACTATTCATGAAAATTAATCTCATACTTTAGAAATATTTTTATTATTAACTTTTGGCCTTTTGATCCTGTATCTTGCTGTGTGGCCTCAACTTCCAAACCTCCTACATCAGCCTCAAAAATACTGGGATTATAAACATGAGTGTCATATTTAGCCAAGCTTTACATTATTAATGCCACATCTATTAATTCCTTTTAGTCTGTGATATTTATTTTTCTACATCTTAAAATATTTATTTATTTACTTAGTGACTGATTTTTATTTTGGTTGGTTTTTGAGATAGTGAATCTGCTATGCTGCCCATACTGGCCTTAAACTCTTGATCTTTCAGCTTGGTCTCCTGAATGTTGAGAATATAAGTGTGTACCTCCCAGCCAAGCTTCTTTGTATTTTGAACAACCAGTTCTTCCCTATTTAAATATATATGCTTTTTAATTTGTTTTCAAATATGATTTTTTAAACATTTTAGGATCAGATTTCATAGCTTTCCCAATGCAATGCTTAGTTTTAATTGTGTATTTGATATAATGAAGAATCAAGCGGAAGAGTCTCAGTGAGGGACTGTCTGGATCTCGGTGGCCTGTGGGCATGTCTGTTGGGGACTTTCTTCATTTCCTTAACTGATGTGGGAGAGGTCTTCACCCCATATGCAACACAGCTCTCTAGGTTTGGCCCCCAACTGTAGAAGAGTGGAGAGAATGAACTCAGTAGCAGGTGTGGATGTGATGGGACAAACTGTTTCACTCTTGTGCTGCTTTGACTCTGGTTTCTTCCAGAGCCCTCATCAGGTGGCTCACAACCTCCTGCAATTCCAGTTCCAGGGCATCTGCCTCTGGCCTCCACCAGCACACATGTACAAAAGTCAATCAATCCTTTAATTAAGGGAAGATCATGTATTAGGCATCTATCATTTAGGCCAGCACTTTGTACATATCATACATCACTCTTATTGCTACAGCAACCCTGTGTGCTTATTATTACTACCATTCCCCATGCTTCAAAGAGGAAAAGGAGGTTCAGACCATGAAAGTAACCTGCAAAAGAAGAAATGCCCCATGACCAGAAACTGCAGTGCCAGGTAGGATTCAGACTACCACTGGCTCCAGACCATGGGGTTTTTTATGGCTTCCTATATCACCACAGTGCTCAAGGGTGACAGAACCCTACCCTAGAAGCAGAAGGCATGGAGACCAGGAAAAAGCTCAGTGACATCTCTGAGGAGGAGCTGCCTGGGTGTGTAGAGGGAGCTATCACCCTGACAATTGCCTTGACTTGAAGCAAAGGTCTCTGGGAAGGAGCAGGACACATGCTGAGGTTGAGGTACTTGTCACACCGGCCCAGAGAGTCATTCAGAAGGTACTGAGAAAGACCCACAAGTGTGGCATTCCTAGAACATCTGAAACTGCAGAAGAAGTGGGTAGAACTGACCCGTGCGTGCGTGCGTGCGTGCGTGCGTGCGTGCGTGCGTGCGTGCGTGCGTGCGTGCGTGCGTGCGTGCGTGCGTGCGTGCGTGCGTGCGTGCGTGCGTGCGTGCGTGCGTGCGTGCGTGCGTGCGTGCGTGCGTGCGTGCGTGCGTGCGTGCGTGCGTGCGTGCGTGCTGAAGAAATTTCACAATTTTTCATGAGAAAGAAGCCATATTGGGAGGTAAATGCATTAATGTGTGTGTGTGTTCCCAAATACTAATTTTCAAGCTACATGGTGAATAATATATATATGTATGTGTGCATATTATATATATATATATATATATTTACATATATATGTAAAACAAATTCATGTAGCTTTAAAGATGAAGCCATTTTGAGTGAGACAGAAGCAGCAATGTTTTCATTTCTTCTTGCAAACAGCAGCCAGCCTGATCATAGAACAACTCAATTTTACCCAGGCTTTATCTCTTCTGAATCACACTATTCACCTCAGGGTTTCCTTATCCAGCCCTGCTCTCAGTATCCAACCTAATATTCCCTTTCTTCTACTTTGGTAAACATTTATTGTTTTGCTTTATTGTATGAGTGTTTTGTCTACATGTATGTCTGTATACCACTTGTGTGTCTGGTGCCCAAGATGGCCAGAAGAGAGTGCAGGATCCCCAGGAACTGGCATTACAGATGTTTGTGGGATGTCACCTGGGTGGGGAATCAAACACCCAGATCCTCTGGAAGAGCAACTTTTACTCCTAATTGCTGAACCATCTCTCCAGCTTCCTCCTCCTCCTCCTCCTCCTCCTCCTCCTCCTCCTCCTCCTCCTCTTCTCCTTCTTCTTCTTCTTCTTCTTCTTCTTCTTCTTCTTCTTCTTCCTCCCCTTTCCTCCTCCTCCTCCTCCTCCTCCTCCTCTTCCTCTTCCTCCTCCTCCTCCTCCTCCTTCTTCTTCCTTTTTTGAAATGATCTCATGCAGCAGAGAAAGTAATTGCCCACTGTGCCACCAATGCCCGGCCTTATTTTTCTTCTTAAGCTGGGGCCTCACTATGTTGTCCACAGGGTTCAAGAATTCCCTACCTCTCAACCTCCCCAGTAGTTGACACCATGAACACCAAGTGCACTGAACTTTACAACCAAGTTGAATAGGTCCTAAAAACTGCTACTCCTATCAGGCATTGAAAGCATAGGCTAAGAAAGGAAGAATACTCCAGCAGCTAAAGTTGTTTTTCTGGCTAACCTCAGCACCTCATAACATGTGATGTGTCCCCCTCCCCAGACCTTTTCTGTTCAGATCCCACAGCTCTGGGGCATCAGAGACCAAATGGTTGAGTAAACACTAACTCCCACCATGCTAATATAGCAAAATATTTGTAAAAACACAATGATATAAAAATTGGAAGGACTCAACCCTGACTGTTTTGCATGTTAACATGCTCTGCCACTGACCTGCACTCCCAGCCTCCAAGACATTTAAGAGGATAGAGACCATGAGAAGACTGGGGGATAGCTCAGTGACCATGAGAGGGCTGGGGGGTGGTATATCTCAGTGGTCGGGAATTTTCCTTGCATAACATATGAGGTGTAATCTCCAGCAGCACAACTCAACAAAATTGAGTGTCAGGTATGATGTTCGTATTTAACCCTTAGTGTTAAACATGAGTGTGCACTTATCACCATATCAAGAGCTGCACAGATGCACAACTGAGATTTACCCACAGGCAGCTGCAAACTTAGTAGAACTAATTAAAATCTAAAATAAATGACACTTTCAGGTTACTTATTCAATGATTTTTAAGTTAGGATAATAACTGTTGACTATTGTTTTTTTATTGGCAATAATAAAAAGTTAATATCAGGAAAATAACTCACTTATGAAAGAAACATAAATTAAAATGGAATCATCCATCCAAGGAAATAGTAACACCTTTTTAAATGAGAGGATAAGAAGTATCTGGAAGGTTCATTTATGCACCTTACTTCTAAGTGTATTTGGAAACTTCTCATTACAGTCTGCAACAGAATCACAAACCTGAAGAGAGACTCCCTTGTCACATGACTCCCTTGTCACAGCTGACCGCAGCAATATGTACAGAATGGCATACCTCTTTCTCTTGGACGACGTCTTCCTCGGGAATACACTTATCCAGGCTAATTTCAAACTTCACCCCTCTCTACAATAAACAAGAAAAAAATCTTAGTTTTAGCAGTTCAATAAAGTCTTCAAATTACAACCCCTGAGGTCAATACATGTTGACAGCACACATACTTTAGATCATTAGTGTAGCTCCATAATTTAGTGGGGATGACACAGCCACCTATACAGCTGTCATCTTTCTTGGATGTAAGCAAGAGACAAGAATGTTTGGATCTTAGTTTTATATATCTGCTTTGAAATTTTACTATTTTTATGTTCTGAAGTCTAATTTGTTTCAAGACTTTTAATATTCTAAAATCTTAGGAAAAAATACAATTCTGTTACCTCATATCAAATTATATATCATAGTATCTAAATTCACATTGCTGTGTATTTCTATTGCTTGATGTCTACATTGAATCTGATGACTCATTTTAGAATATAAACATTTTATTTGCCAATAAAAGTTAATCATAATTCACTAAAAAGTTAGGTACAGTATTCATCAAATTAAAATAGTTACGTACTTAACACTGGCATTTTTTTTACATTCTTTAATTACTACTCATATATTTACATATCCATCCCCCCATTTCCCTCCCATCCTCCCATGTTCCCCATCAACCTCCCCTACCAACCCTCCCAACACTCCCCCCAACTCCAACCCAGGGATAGTGAGGCCCTCCACGGGGGACCTTCAAAGTCCTTCATATCATTTGGGGAAGGGCCTAGGCCCTCCTTGCTGTTTCTGGGCTGCAATAGTGTCCCTCCATAGGGAATGGGCTCCCAAAGTCCATTTGTGCTCTAGGGATAAAGACTGGCTCCACTGTTAGAGGTCCCATAGACTGTCTTGGCCTCCTAGCTGGCACCCACATTCAGAGGGCTTGTTTCGGTCCAATGTTGTTTCCCCAGCTTTATGACTAGGGTCTCCATGCTATTAGTAGGTCAGGTCAACTGTTTCTGTGGGTTTCTCCAGACCCATCTTGGCTCCTTTGCTCATCCCTCCTCCCTCTCCACAATTGGATTCCAGTAGTATGGTTCAGTGTTTAGCGGTGGGTGCCTGTTTCTGCTTCGAACAGCTACTGGATGAAGGCTCTAGGAATGGTAACCAAGGTAGACACTAATCTCATTATAGGGGAAGGGCATCAATGGCATCCTCTCCACTACTGCCTGGATTCTTAGTTGGGGTCATCCCTGTGAATCCCCTGACATTTTCCCTGTGCCAGACCTCTCTCCAAACCTGTACTGTCTTCCTCTGTCAAGGCATCTCCTTTCTTGCCCTCCTCTATTCTTCCCCTCTCAGGCCTCTTGATCTCCTCCCCCTCCCCTTCTTCCCTTCCCACCTCCTTTCTCTCCCCCTTTCCCATTTTGTTCAGAGGTTCTTGTTCCCATCCCCTTCTTCAAGGGACTATGCAATCTTCTCTTGGGGTCCTCCTTGTTTCCTAGCTCCTCTGGCAGTATGGATTGTAGACTGGTAATACTTTGCTCTATGTGTAAAAATAAAAAATGAGTGAGTACATACCATGTTTATCTTTTTGTGATTGGGTTACCTCACTCAGGATGGTTTCTTCTAGTTCCATAACACTGGAATTTTAATGAGCAAAAATTCCATAATGTGACAAAATTGTCTTTGCTCCAATGCAATTTGACCATATCCAATTCAAGAACATGATTTTCTAATGAAGTGCTAGGGATCAAATTAGGGCTTTGTACATGTTCGGTGAGTGCTTCATTACTGAGACACACCTCAGCCATAGGACCTAATTTTGACAACAAGTGTGTGTGTGTGTGTGTGTGTGTGTGTGTGTGTGTGTGTGTGTGTGTGTGTTGGTGTGTGTGTGTGTGTGTGTATGTATGTGTGAGGGGGGGCGGTGGGTCATGGTGGAAGCCCAGGTTTGGATGCTCTTCAGGCAGAGGTGGCCAGGCAAGACACTGGCACTGGATGTGGGACTGTGGGACTTGGGCTACACCTAGTAGGTTAAAGAGGCTGTGTTGCGGGGAGGTCCAGGCTAGACCCCAGAGAAGGTTGTAAGGATCTGGCTGGTTGGAGGGGTAGAATTTTACAAACTCTTATTCAGGTATCCTTGCCCTCTGTGATCTATATCCCTGCACAATCAAGAACACAGTATAGATGGCTAGAAAGGACTCTGTTGCCATAAAGCTTGCATAGTCCTGGGGTAAGCAAGGTAACACACAAGTTTGCAAATTAATGACATGATTTCAAGCAAGTCTCAGATGCATAGAGAACATAAAACAGGAGAGCTGGCAAGATGGCTCAGCAGTTAAAAGCACTTGCCATGAAAGCTTGGTGATCTGGGACCCAGGGTGGAAGGAAAGAATCAACTCCCAAAAGTCATCCTCTGAGCGCTACATATGTCCTGTAGTTCATGCATACCTGTACTAATTTAATACATATATCACATACGTATATAATACAACAACAATCAATCAAATTAGGGGCTGGTGATGGTGGCATGTGCATGTGTGTTCTGAGGCAAAGCCAGGAGGGTCAGGAGATGAAGGCCACCTTTAGTTACATGAAATTCTATCTCAAACAAAACAAATATGAAAAGAAAATAGGGTCATAGGATGGGAAATGAGAAGAAGGGAGAGGTAAAGCATAGAAAAAATACTTGGTATATAAAGGTACAAGGAAAACATTTTCCATGCTGTGGGAAAAGCAACTTAAAATCCCTAGAGTGGCTGTGTGATCCTCAGGTCTCCTCCAACTGAATTTATCCAGGATGGAGTTTTTCATTGTTCTGACCCTCTCAAGAAGTAGCCTTCCAGACTTCAGCTTCCAGTAGAGAGAGTGTACCAGGGGCCATATTTCCTTACCTACCTAAAACAACCACAGCCACATTCAACATCTCACATGAACAGGAACCAATGAGACGAGCCCAACAACTACCCTTGCCTATGTTCCAGACAGTTCGCTGGGCTGGAGAACTGCTGTCTTGATAAGGCAGGCTGAGAACACAGGTTTACCAGCGTTGATAGAGTTTGAAGGACAGAGTCCCAGTAAGGAGAGAGCTATAGCACAGGAGAACCAGAGCTCATAAAATGCTGGCGGAAATGTAACACCCACTTTGCAAATAGATATTGCAGTTTCTGGAACAATTAAATATGGCTGGGGCAACAGGTGGGTGAGCAATGTGCTAGCCTTGCAAGCATGAAGACCTAAGAGTTTGATCTGCAGTGAGCATGTGAAAAAACAGCTGGGCAAGGTGGCACTTGATTATAATCCTAGCACTGGGGAGGCAGAGACAGATTCCTGGGGCTCACTAAATAACCAGTCTAGCTAATTAGGCCAGCTCCAGGCCATGAGAAAACCTATCCCCCTAAACAAGGTGGATGACTCCTAAGGAACAATGCTTGAGGTAGACCTCTATCCTCCACATACATGCACACACACATGCATGTGCACCCACACATATGTGTATACACACAAATTATACCAGTCAGGCATGGTTGCATATGCCTGTAATTCCAGCTACTCAAGAGGATAAGGCAAGATGATGATGAGATATTGAGGAGAAAGGAAGGAAGACCTAGAGTTTGAGGCCATTCTGGACAACATGATGAAATTCTTTCTCTTCTACAAAAAAAAAAATAATAGGGTTTGGGGCACAGCACAGTGTTAGAGTACTTATGAGGGTCTGGTTTCAGTTCCTAGAACTGCCAAAAAAGGGGGGGGGGATTAAACATACACATGACCCAGTCATTCCAGGCCAATGTAGTTATAAAAAAAAGATATGCCTATCACTTTAAGACTTGCCTATTAGGTTGGGAGATGCCTCAGCATGGAAGTTCCCTTGCTACTGAAGCACAGGCCCTGCACTGGAACCCCTCTACTCATCATAAAAGGCTGGGCATTACTGTGTCTGGAACTGCAACCCTGAGAAGCAGAAACAGGCAGATCCTGGACAGCTACGATAGCCTAAATGGTAAGCTTCAGGATTAGTTGTAAACCCTGTCCCAAAGAAATAAGGGAGACAGTACCTCAACATACATGGGCAGATACTTGCCCATGATTGTCTCAGCTGTTTGCAATAGACAAAAGCTGGAAACTGTCTAAATAGCCATCCATAGTTGAACTGACAACTAATTTTGATATATTTATACAGTGGGGTATGCTCCCCAGTGACAAGGGATGATGAACTATATGGACAACATAGGTGAAACTCAAAATGATTAAGTATAATGATGATTCCTATGGCATAAAAGAAGCCAGATGAAAGAGGACACTAAGGGACGGTGGCAGTTATACACTGTGCTCTCATCTAGAAAATGCAAACGAGTCCATTGGGACAGAAAGCTCATGAGCAGCTGCCTAGAGGTGGTGTGGGAGTGGAGGCTGGGAGAAACGGGAAAGGAGAACTGACAAGAGAACACCAGAGCTTTTAAAAAGGCCCCCACCCCACTAAGTGGCACATCGAGAGGTCAGATGACCCCTGGGACAGGAGCGCCCTCACTGGGAAGCTCACACAGCCCTAGCAATAGCATCTCTACCTGTGTCGAGGCTTCTTCCTTGGGTGCATCAGGGTGGGCGGGCAGGTTACTCCTCTTCACCAGGTAGGTTTTACAACTGAGGTTTGCATTCTCCTTTATCTCCTTTAATTCAGATGCCACACAGTGAGATTGGCTCTATAAGCTACTCACCCTCTGTCAACCCTGGGAGCATGAAGAACTAGTCACAGACACCTCAGAGCCTTTTGTATTCCTCCTATACCTTGGGATTGATTTGGTTTTCACCAAACACTTCTTTCATGGACTCTAGAAATACCCGCTCCCTGACCCCGACAGCATGCACAACCTGAGTTTGATCCCCAGTGCCCAAAATAAAGGTGGGAAACACAAAAGGGGGGAAATGCCTGCTATTCCACTTTGCTGGACTCTGACTTCCCATTACATAAGGCTGATGGTGGGACAAGGCTCCCCACCATGAACAAAGCTCTTACATCCAGCATAGGCCTTTGTGTGGCTCATTTAGAACAAGCCACTTAGCTCAGACCATCTAAAGCCCCCTCTTCTCAGTCCAGTCCCACCCCAACCCCCACGTCCATCGACTCCTCCACATAAGCCTTCTTCCTCCTCAGCTGTCTCGTCTCTGCTCCTGTACACCTATGAGGCTTGACTATGGCATGCTCATTCCATTATCATTTCATGGATGTGCACTTATGAGTAGAACTGCATCTGCTAGAAAGATGTGTCAGAGGTATACCTTTAGCTTGCCTTGTGACTGCTAAGTGACTTTGGATGAGTTGTTGAATTTTCTGTGGTAGGACGTAAATAAGGTGCACTGGAAAACTCCACTCGTGCTCACTTATACCATTTCGCACATACACTTAGAGGTGGGGGAAGCCTGGAGGTGGTGGATCCGCTGCAGCAGCATGGCAGGTCTGTTTAAGGAGGAGCATGCTAGGTGGCCTCTGCAGAGCCCAATGGACCTCAGAAAAGAGCAATCCAGGGTGCATGCTGCAGGGATTCATGGTGTTGGAATACCTGAACGCTATTCACACAGCGGGTCAAATACACACTAGCTAAGACATCTCCTGAAGAGATGGCCATCTGCTGCAGTTCTAGGAACCTACTAGAGATGGAAGGATGAGTTTGAGGGTAACACTACTGTGGGTTTTTCAAGAATGACATCAACTGTGATCAGATTTTGCCTTGCATAGTCTTGTAAAAGAAAGAAGTATGTCCTGGGAAATGTGAGCACTGTAGCCGGTACTTACACAGACTAAGGCAGCAATGACATCAGACAGTACAGTCTTGTGAGACCACCATTTTATACATGGTTTATCATTAACCTGTCATCATCCTGTGTGACCTCCAATGAACCATAATGCTAATCTTCAGTTATATCTAACCACTTTCCTATTTAGAAAGAAACCAAAGGATCACCTCTATCTCTTTTTCTAACTTCCTATGAGGAGACTGTGTTTGCATATGCATGTCTCCGTGTGTATATTCGTGCATGTACATGTGTGTGAAAGTACATATGCATGTGTGTGCATGTATGTGCTGTGCATGTGTGTGGATGTACATCTATGCGCATGTGCATATGTGCAGGTGCATGCATATGTGTGTGCATGCATGTGTGTGTGTACGTGTGTGTACGTGTGTGTGTGTGTGTGTGTGTGTGTGTGTGTGTCTGTGTATACACAGCCCACTCTCATCCACTGGGACTTGGCTATGTGGCATGGACTCAGGGTCTGTCTGGGTCTTCTTGGAAACACCTTTCAGTCCTTCCTTCTGCCATCTGCAGTGGGACTCTGCCTACCCACAGAACCGCTCTCTACCAGGAACCCAAAGCTGCCAGCCTAGCTTTAGATATTAAATTGCTTTTATTGTCTAGTCATTTTGTCACCTTTAAATCAATAGAACAATGTTCACTCTAGTGGAGTGACTTTACCTTCAGCTCTCTCCCCATCCTCTCTTTAATTTCCTTCATGTCACTGTGGTATTGTTGCCGGATTTCCTCTAGCTGTTTCCAATATTCCTGAAAAGCAAAACCAATTCAAAACTTGAAAATAATCTCTACACAGCCTACAATTTTTGAAACACATAATACAAGTAATCATTAGAAAACCAATTGCTTCTAACTGTAATGATAAGCTCACTTTGGCTGTGGTATTTCATAGCCTGGGAGGGACACACTAGTGTGGGACAGAGACCTTTATTAAAATCCCAAATCATGTGTAGCTACTCTGCATATACCACTTTTGCATTAATTGAACATGTTGTCCCTCAAAAGATGTGTAGAAGCTGGGGTACACACCTTTAGTCCTAACTACATGGAAAGGTGAGTTGGGAGGATCACTTGAGTTCAAGACTAGCCTGGGTAACATGCAAAGACCTCACTCCTCCTCATCATCATCACACATACACCTGTCTTATCACACAGTGCCTCGGAATGAGACCATAGTTGGAAATAGGGTCTTTGCAGGTGTTATCAGTTAAAATGAAGTCATTCTGGGGTGGAATGGGCTCCTTGATCAATATGAAAATGAGCACAGCCCACTCCTATCCACCAGGAATTGGCTGCTTGGCGTGGACCCCGGGACCCTCTAGTTCTTGGAAACACCTTTCAGCTCTTCCTTCTGCCATTTCCAGTCCTTTGGGACTCTGCCTACCCACAGAACCTCTCTCCACCAGGAACCCAAAGATGCCCAGCATAGGCTGGGACTCAGGTAGGGGACCTTCAACCTCCTTCCTATCCTCCATTAAATTATTTCCAGACTCACCATTAGTTCTGCAGCTGCCTGCCCACAGGAACCTGTCCTCCTGGAGCACCCCTGCCCTGGAACACCTCCATCCTCTTGACACTCAGCCTCTTGGTGCAGACCCAGGGTCACTCTTGGTCTTCCCCACAGCTTCTTTCAACCTTTCCTTCTAGGCCATCTCCATTCCTTTGTGAGTCCATGCTAAACTGCAGAACAGCTCTCTACCAAGGACCCCACAGCCACCACACTTGGCTAGGACTCAGATTGGCCAATAGTAACCAAAGAACCTACCCAATAAAGACCAGAAATCTACACCAAGAAGTACCTTAAATATCCTAATTCCAGATGCCTAGATGCCAGCAGAAAAAAAAAAACATACACATGAGCAACCAAGACAATGTCTCCTTCAGAAGCCAGCAACCCTACTATGTACAGGCTTCTAGGCTTGAGCACATGACTACCCACACTGGTTCTGGCCTTCAGCCTCCAAAAGCACAAGACAATGTTGCTACTGTTTTAAGTTACCTATTTTGTTGTCTTTCATTACAACAGTCCTAAAAGGTGTAATAAAAATAACTCTATCAAATGTCTTATAAGCTCAGCTCTGTGTGTCCACAGGGATGCTGGGAGCAATGGTGACATATGGCAAGAAAGGCTGCAGTGTGAAGAACCATGGCACATGCACAGAACTAGAAATTTTAAACCTGGTCCTTCATTCTGTTCTTCCTATACTGGAGCTCCTGGAGTTTAGTCTCCTCTCTGTGGCTTTGTGGCTTTTCTCTCTCACTGGGATGTGGCTCAGCAGAAGATGGACGAAGACCCTGTTTATGAAAGGAAATCATTTATAGGACATACTTGAATATTCTGGCTTAACCTGGGCTATTTATTCAAGACAAGAAGTATATCACCGACCAATCTACATAGGAGATTGCTTGGTGAGTAGCAAATTTTTTTAACTGAAATATTAAATGTTTTAAGTAGCATTTTTGTTTTGTTTTTCAAGGCAGGGTTTCTTCTCTTTGTAGCCTTGGCTGTCCTGGAACTCACTCTGTAGACCAGGCTGGCCTCAAACCTACAGAGATCCACCTGCATCTGCCTGACAAGTGCTGGGATTAAAGACATGAGCCACCACTGCCCGGCCCTTTAAGCAACATTTTAGCATTGAGCCATTGGTGTTATCTGTAAGTAACAGTTATTTTTGTGTCATCACTTGGGTCAGTTGTAGCTGTCCAGTTAAGCTCTTCTGAGGCTTAGCAGCCCTGGGGTGTGACAGTGAGAATAAGAACAAGTCAGAAGAGTGACGTGTCAGGCCTGGTAGCCCATGCCTGTACTTCCCACCCGGGAGGCTGAGGCAGAAGGATGAGTAGAGCTTGAAGTTCCAGGCCAGTCCTGGGCTATACAGTGAGATTCTATCTATAAAGAAAAAGTGGAAATAAATGATGGATGGGCTTGGTTTTACAGCAGAATGAATTTGGACCCACCCATGTCTGAGGGCAGAGAAGCTGTGAGGAAACCCTGAGCTCTCCCACAGTTGCAGTCTTACTCACCAACTGTCTTTCCACTTTTAACTTATACTGCTGAGCTTCAAATCTCCTCTGAAGATATGCAGCAGACCTGAGAAAACAAGAGTGTTCCACTGGAGTGTAATTCCCTTTGTCTGTCTGTCTCTCTCTCCTCTCCCTTCCTTCCTTTCTCTCTTCCTTCCTTCCTCTCTCCCCCTTCCTTCTTTCTCTCTCTCTCTTTGTCCCTCCCTCCCTCCCTCCCTCCCTTTCTCCCTCCCTCCCTCTCTTCTGTCTTTTATGGTGCTGGAGATTGACACACATACTCTAATGCTCACTCTAATCTTTAGTCCACAAGGAAGCATTCTCACTAACCATCTCAGATACTGATTTGATGGGTGGGTTTTTCACCTCAGTGATGAGGAGACCTGGAACAAACACCTTGTGATAAAGGTGAAGATTAGAAGCCTGGCAGTGGTGGTGCACACCCTTTAATCCCAGCACTCAGGAGACAGAGACAGATGAGTCTCTGTGATTTCAAGGCCAGCCTGGTATACTGGGCAAGTTCCAGGACAATGAAGCCTACACAGAGAAACCCTGTCTTGAAAAAACCAAAACGAAAAAGGAAAAAAAGAAAGAAGGAAGGAGAGAGAGAGAGAGAGAGAGAGAGAGAGAGGAAAGGTGACGATCAGAGTTCTGCAATTGAAAACCAAGGGATGGCAAAGATTGCCTAGAAATCTCCAAAAGCGGAGAGGGCTATTTGTGAACAGACTCAATGGGTAAGGGCGCTTGCTGCCAAACTGTACAACCTGACTTCAGTGCCTGGTACCCACGTGGTAGAAAGAATACCAACCCCTGCAAACTGTCTTCTGACCTTGGTGCACACGCATCACACACTAGATATGACTGATTTTAAAATGCAGTGGGAAAGCCTCAGTTAAACAGAAAGATTCTCTAATATAATGAGTTTTCTTTCTCTGGGGAAGGATTTGGTCTTTCTCTCCTCAGATATGGTGAAGGAAAGAAACAAAGACAGGCCTGGCTTCTCTCCAGCTCCGTGGGATGACTAACGCATAGCTCATTGCTCTCCATTACATGGCTGCCTGTCTGCTCCCTGCACACACAGAAGCTCCAGAGAACTGGTTCAGCCCTTTTCCCTGTTAATGGATGAAGAGATGCTACACTGCTGTGGGAACACTTAAAATGATTGTCAGCACAGTTCTGGTTAGATCTGGTCAAATCATTGTCAGACTTGCACCGTGTCCTGTTCCCTCTGCCCTCCTTACTCTCCCTCCACTGTGTAAGACAGGGTCTCTAGGTAGCTCAGATGGATCTCAGTCCACAATCTTCTTGCCTCAGCCTCCCAGATGACGGGATTACAGGTCTGCACCACCATGACCAGCTATCTTTTTGCGGGATGCTCAAAGCCCTGGGTTAGAATCACTTAAAACCAAAATAAAACAACTTAAGCTTTTAGAAATTTTTCAGACCATTAATATCGACAGAAGAACAGCAACTAAAGCTTCATCTCATGCAAGGTCAGTTGACTTTGATAGTCTACACCAGTAAGAGAAGTAATGACAAAGGATCACAACATACTTTCTTTAAATAGAAAAAAAAAAAACAAAACATGTTTCCGGTATTATTTTATGTATTTCTAGAAATAACTACATTTTAATTTTTATTTACTTATTTTTTGAAAGAGTCTCAGGTATTCCAGGCTAGCTTCAAACTCTCTATGTAGCCAAAGTCAGCCTTGAACTCCTGACTCTGCCCCTACCTGCTGAGTGTGGGATTATAAACATCTGTTTTCTTCTAAGCTGGGAACTAAACCCATAGCCTTGATCACATTAGACAAGTACTCTGCCAACAGAGCTATATCCCCAGCCCTGAACAACCATTTTTGCAGAAAGGAATAATTACAGGTCACATTGTACCTAAACAATTCCTCACACTAATGACAAAGTCGTTAAACAGTCATAGGAGTGTGGGTTCTCAGGTCACTTAATGCTGCTTAGCTTTTTATCAACTTGAAACAAACCGGGTCATCTGGAAAAAGGGAGCCTTGGCTAAGAAAAATGCCTCCAACAGAATGCCCTGTGGGGAAGCCTGTCGGGGCATTTTCTTGACTGATGATTGATGTGGGCCATTCCTAGACAAGTGGTCCTGGGATGTGTAAGAAAGCAGGCTGAGCGAGCCATGGAGAGCAAGCCAGTTAGCAGCACCCCTCCATGTTCTCTGCTTCAGCTCCTGCCTCCAGGGTTCTGCCCTGACTTCTCTCAGTGATGGACTGTGACAGGGACCTAGAAGCCAAATAAACTCTTTCCTCCCCAAGTTGCTTTTAGCCATGGTGTTTATAACAGCCATAGAACACTCTTTCTGCTGTTGGAAAAGTAGGCAAGTTTTCTACTGTGTTTGTGTTAGCCTTCATTAAAATTTAGTGTGTTTCTGAACTGAACTGGAATCCAGTTGCAGATAAGGAGGAGTGATGAGCAAAGGGGTCAAGACCAGGCTGGTGAAACCCACAGAAACAGCTGACCTGAACAAGGGGGAGCTCTTGGTCCCCAGACTGATAGCTGGGAAACTAGCATGATCCAGACTCCATGAATGTGGGTATCAATGAGGAGGCCTTGGAAATCTATGTGGCCTCTTGTAGTAGATCAGTACTTATCCCTAGCATAGCAATGGACTTTGGGAGCCATTCCACATAGGGGGATACTCCCTGAGCCTAGACACACAGGGGAAGGCCTAGGCCCTATCCCAAAGGATATGACAGACTCTGAAGACCCCTTATGGAAGGCCTCACCCTCCCTGGGGAGCAGAAAGGGTATGGGATAGGTAGGGTGTTAGTTGTCAGGGTGCAGAGGAGAAGGGGAGGGAGAAGGAACTGGGATTGACGTATAAAACAATCATGTTTCTAATTTAAATTAAAAAATGGAGAAAAATAGTGTTTTTTTCCTATATCACAAATGGCCTTTTTTGCTTCCTCTAAGGATTCTGAATCCGGATGGATATGCAATGTCAAAATAAACACAATGAATAAGTTCATTAATACTCTGTATAACCTGTTTAATTTTCAGTTTATTTGCATTTCCCCATCATAGATTGCTTTAAGAGATTTTCTACTCTCTGGAAGTCCAGACATGTGGCTACAGCTAAATCCTGCTTTTACTTTCTGTTCTGTAATATTCACCCCCAAATACACAGAGCACCCCAGAACTTCAGCTGATTGTTGACACTCAGATTGGTTTGTTCTTCTTACTTATTACCCCATAAAGCACCACCTGAATTCTTTAGTTACATCTAGGTTCTCACACTATTTTTTATTATTTCAGCTCCACTGGGCTTTGCTGCAAGGCAAGTCTTAATGCACAGTTCACTTTTTCTGTTACAGAATAAATGATACCCCATGAGTGTACAATAACTCATGATTGATCTATGAATATTCTACTCTCTCCTCCTCCTGACCAGGCATCACCTCACATCAACAAAAAGAAAGCTTTGATTTAGCCACTTCAAATATCTCTGCTTGTTTTGTGAAGGTTTCCTGACTAATGAGAAAAAAAGGAGCTCAGTTCCCCAGGTCACTTCTGAGCTAGATATGCAACTTCTTAGGAACACCCCCTTCTACCCATGTGACCAGATGGTTTCTAGCTTGTTGATACACTTATATTTTCTAACTGTCCATATTCACCATAGTTGCTGGAATTTCTCCCATGAATATCAGCAATATGTCAAAACACATGATATGATACACACATAATAAAAGCCTCTTTTTTTAAAACATCACACAGTGTGCTGGAATTGCAGCAAAGCTTGAGACAATCACATTTCACATAGTGGTGTGAAAACCCAGTCACATTTATTAATCAAATAAAGACACAGATACCTCTCTTTTTGGGTCTTCAATGCTAAAGATTGAACCAAAGTATCTTGCATGCTAGTTAAGTGCTATACCACTGAACATCCAGACTCCATGAATGTGGGTATCAATGAGGAGGCCTTGGAAATCTATGTGGCCTCTTGTAGTAGATCAGTACTTATCCCTAGCATAGCAATGGACTTTGGGAGCCATTCCACATAGGGGGATACTCCCTGAGCCTAGACACACAGGGGAAGGCCTAGGCCCTATCCCAAAGGATATGACAGACTCTGAAGACCCCTTATGGAAGGCCTCACCCTCCCTGGGGAGCAGAAAGGGTATGGGATAGGTAGGGTGTTAGTTGTCAGGGTGCAGAGGAGAAGGGGAGGGAGAAGGAACTGGGATTGACGTATAAAACAATCATGTTTCTAATTTAAATTAAAAAATGGAGAAAAATAGTGTTTTTTTCCTATATCACAAATGGCCTTTTTTGCTTCCTCTAAGGATTCTGAATCCGGATGGATATGCAATGTCAAAATAAACACAATGAATAAGTTCATTAATACTCTGTATAACCTGTTTAATTTTCAGTTTATTTGCATTTCCCCATCATAGATTGCTTTAAGAGATTTTCTACTCTCTGGAAGTCCAGACATGTGGCTACAGCTAAATCCTGCTTTTACTTTCTGTTCTGTAATATTCACCCCCAAATACACAGAGCACCCCAGAACTTCAGCTGATTGTTGACACTCAGATTGGTTTGTTCTTCTTACTTATTACCCCATAAAGCACCACCTGAATTCTTTAGTTACATCTAGGTTCTCACACTATTTTTTATTATTTCAGCTCCACTGGGCTTTGCTGCAAGGCAAGTCTTAATGCACAGTTCACTTTTTCTGTTACAGAATAAATGATACCCCATGAGTGTACAATAACTCATGATTGATCTATGAATATTCTACTCTCTCCTCCTCCTGACCAGGCATCACCTCACATCAACAAAAAGAAAGCTTTGATTTAGCCACTTCAAATATCTCTGCTTGTTTTGTGAAGGTTTCCTGACTAATGAGAAAAAAAGGAGCTCAGTTCCCCAGGTCACTTCTGAGCTAGATATGCAACTTCTTAGGAACACCCCCTTCTACCCATGTGACCAGATGGTTTCTAGCTTGTTGATACACTTATATTTTCTAACTGTCCATATTCACCATAGTTGCTGGAATTTCTCCCATGAATATCAGCAATATGTCAAAACACATGATATGATACACACATAATAAAAGCCTCTTTTTTTAAAACATCACACAGTGTGCTGGAATTGCAGCAAAGCTTGAGACAATCACATTTCACATAGTGGTGTGAAAACCCAGTCACATTTATTAATCAAATAAAGACACAGATACCTCTCTTTTTGGGTCTTCAATGCTAAAGATTGAACCAAAGTATCTTGCATGCTAGTTAAGTGCTATACCACTGAACAACACTGTTGGGCTTTGGACTTTTTTTTTCTGACAGGGTATGACAAGATAACTTTGGGCTTCTCTTTTTCAGGGTCAAACGTAGCTTAGGTAGGTCTAAGCACTTGTGATCCTTTTGCCTCAGTTTCCCAAGTGCTGGGATCACAGGTGTGGTGATGCTAAGAATTGAATTGGGGGTTTTATTATTTTATTTTCTGATGCCAGGGATGGAACTCAGGGCCTTGTGCAAGCTGATAAACAGTGTTCCGCCAGGCTACCCTCCCAGCTACCACAGATGCTTTTTGATTACATGGTTACATGATCCTTACCATGGACTACCTCTCCAGTGAGTTGTGAGGCCCATAGCCGCATTCTGCATATGACCATGGAACTCAATTCTTCTTGAATGGACCTAAAATCAAATACATGTGTCATGACTTACCATCCAAAATCTCTCCCAAAATCTGGAGTCACCCCCAAACCTACCTCAGGAGACAAGTATCGGGTAGTAAGAGTCTCTAAAAAAGGCCTTTTCAAAAGGGAATTGATAGATGGTCGATCCTGAGGACACACTTTAAAGAGCTGAGGGACCAAGGACTGTAGGTCAAGAGAAAAGTGGGGTGATATGGGAGCAACACGTGCTTGACAAATCTTCAGAACCAGATGGTGTAAGTCGTTACCCTCAAACTGAAAGGACAAGATAATTATTCCTCATTAGAGACCAGTTGAGTACTGGTAGTTAAAGTAATAAATACACCAAGAAACAAAAGCTAAATGGCCAGTAGTGCCACATGCCTTTAATTCCAGCACTTGGGAGGCAGAGGCAAGGCAGATCTCTATGAGTTCAAAGCCAGCCTGGTCTACAGAGTGAGTTCCAGGACATCTGGGACAGTTATATAAAGAAACCTTGTCTCAGAAAGACAAAAACAAAAAGAAGGAAGGAAGGAAGGAAGGAAGGCTGTTTATCATCTATCTACCTATCTCTCATCTATCTACCTTCCTATATATCTTCTACCTACCTATGTTCTGTCTGTCTGACATTGTGCTTGGCATTGGTACAGGGCCCTGAGCATGCCAGGCAGTTGACCTACCCTTTAGCTATATCCCCGATCTATGACTATTTTTAAGCTGCAGTTGGATGCACTATGTTCTGCCCTATCTTGTCATCAACAATCTGTCATAAGTGGATACTTAAAGCACTTACTCCAAGAGATGCTGTGCTACGTAAAACAAGATTTAGAGTTTTAGTATTTTCATTTTGCTTTTGTTTTTGGTGCTTGCCAATTGAATGCAGGGCCCTGCATTTGCATAGTGTGTGATCTACCTATGAACCATACCTAGTCCTTAACTTTAATTTTTTTTAGCTAAGCCAGTTTCCTTTATTTTTAATTTTTTATTACCAAAATACCATTTACTAACACTTAAAAACCAAAAGCATAGGAAGTTGTAAACAGGAAAATATGCATAATTTCACAACTCACAACTCATAATTCTATATGATCTTTTCAAGAATGTTTATTTTATAGAGATAATCATACTGACACAATATTTTACTTTTTGCTTTTTCAAATACTGTAACAAATATTTACTCATAAAGTCATCCACAGTAAAATCTTCCATTGTATAAAAGAAGCATTTATTTATACAAAATAACATTGAACACGATGGTGTGGTAATGAAGTGCAGGTTTTGTTCAGATACCAGCTGGGTGGCCTTTAATATTAACAACAATAGTAATAATGAAGACAGCTGCATAGACAAGAGTTGGCAAGCAAGCCGTCCTTGGAAAGTCCTGCCTCCAGTATTGGCCTTGGTATGAAGTCTCCAGGACCTGAGATTTGTAGAGAAATTCCACCCCTGCCTAAATGTTAAGAGTGGCCCAAGACATTTATGCATATGGTTTATTTGAACATATGGAACCTTGGAAGTTTTATACATACTAGGCAGATGGTGCCTATATGTCCAGCTTCCAATAAAGCATGGAGATAAGGGACCTAATGGACTCACAATGCTTCACTCTTCAAGACTGGAAATATGAGCATGTCCCTAGGAAGTCTATGCTTGATTTACTACAGACTCTGCCACACACTCTCATTACCTTCAAAGAATATGTGTAAAATGGAAACATGCTTCACATGCTATTCTCTGACTTGGACTTTTTACTTTATAGTATTATCTTGATATCTGTCCATGTCAAACATGCAGTTCTGACATGCTTCTCCGTGTATGTGTGTCTGTGTGTGTGAGAGAGAGAGAGACAGAGAGACAGAGACAGAGACAGAGACAGAGACAATCTGCATCTTGCTATGTAGACCAGGCATAGACTCTTGTCTATGCAGCTGTCTTCATTATTACTATTGTTGTTAATATTAAAGGCCACCCAGCTGGTATCTGAACAAAACCTGCACTTCATTACCACACCATCGTGTTCAATGTTATTTTGTATAAATAAATGCTTCTTTTATACAATGGAAGATTTTACTGTGGATGACTTTATGAGTAAATATTTGTTACAGTATTTGAAAAAGCAAAAAGTAAAATATTGTGTCAGTATGATTATCTCTATAAAATAAACTCTCAGTCCTTCTGCCTCCCCCTCCTGGGTTTCTTTTGTTGTTGGTTTTGGCTTTTTGCTTTTTTCTTTTGACTTTGGCTTTTCAAAACGAGGTTTCTCTGTAGCTTTGCAGCCTATCTGGAACTCACTCTGCAGACCAGACTGGCCTTGAACTCACAAAGATTCGTCTACCTCTGCCTCCCAAGTGCTGGAATTAAAGGAATGCGCTAGGAGTTGAGGAGGATTCTGGGAAATGTAGTAAAGACAGAAGTTGCCATGTGATCCTGGCAACTTTGGTTTTGGCTCTTTAAAGATGGATTCTCTCTCTGTTGCTCATGCCTGTCTTGAATCCCTGAGTTGATAGGACCACAGGCACATGGCTATCATACCTGGCTATCCATAAAATTTTTAAGCAATATAATAAACCAAACAATCTTTTTTCTCTCAGAAGTTCATTTCCACAAAATGTTTCAGTAATTCAAGATTCACATGATGATCAACATACTTACAGGATGCTTGAGTGTGCAGAGCTCATATAAGACACATCCAAGAGACCAAATATCCCTGGAGAAGAGAAGGGTTTACATGGCCAGAAAATGGCAACAATTACAGGTGGAAGTATTTACCACTCTATGTGGGTACTGATGGAGGAAGTCCTTCTGTGTATATGTTTGTCTTATTGGTTGATAAATAAAGCACTGTTGGCCAATAGGAAGGCAAGATAGGTGGAGCTAGGAGTTGAGGAAGATTCTGGGAAATGTAGGAAAGACAGAAGTTGCCATGTGATCCTGGCAAAAGAGACGTCCTCGATAAATCTTTATAAAATATATAGATTAATGGTTATGGTTGATACTCAAGACAGAGCTAGCAAATAAGAAATCCTAGTCATTGACTAGCAACATTGTAACTAACATAAAACTCTGTGTGTTGTTTGGGGGCCCTAGCTTGGCGGTGGGTCTCTGGCGGCTGGCAGAAAGAGTTATCTTTACAGGGTACAGCTTCATTTTATTAGGTTAGTATTTTTTACAAGTGCTTTCAGATATCTTATCAATTCTAAAATAAAAATTAAAGTAAGAATTGTTTGAAATCCTTCAGAATCCTGGCAGACAACAGATAAACAAACATTACTAACAATACAATAGCTGAACATTTATTTCATGTGCCCAAAGAAAATGTGTGTACAATGGAGTTGGGGGCACATCAGAGGAGAAAGGCAAGATTCCAACATGCATGACTCAAAAGTGGAAAGTGGTCGATCGGGGAAGAAAATTCTACTCAAAGCTCTTGACAGAGAAAAGGTTATATCATGTGATAGAATAGTCTAGATGAACATTTGAAAAACATGCTTGAAATATAGGACTTGAACTTTTTTCTGTCCACAATTATTTTTAAAATTATTTAATGTGGCTGGGCATTGGTGGTACACACCTTTAATCCCAGCACTTGGGAGGGAGAGGCAGGTAGATCTCTGTGAGTTCAAGGCCAGCCTGATCTACAGAGTGAGTTCCAGGACAGGCTCCAAAGCAATACAGAGAAACCCTGTCTTGAAAAACAGATATAGATATAGATATAGATATAGATATAGATATAGATATAGATATAGATATAGATAGTGGTAGTAAAGATTGGTTTAAGGAGTCATTTTAAAGAATAAAAAGGATAATTAAATCTAAAAGGCAAGAGGAAATCTTAGATGTCAAGGATCCCAAAACAGGATTCAGTAAAGAAAAGCAGAGGTGTGCTCAGTTGGCAGGCCACCTTATGACACGGGAGGGAGGGAACCATTTTTCTGAGGCATGATGCAGATGGTAAGCTGTCTGGAATCATGATTCATGTCAATAATAATTCAGAAGTACCTTGTCTAAATTCATTTTCCTATAAACAGGAGAAAATACTGAGGGATGGGGTGGCTACTAGATACCCCCTCACTGCCCTGGCCTCCTTGAGCAAAAGGATTTTCAGTCAAAGAGTCAGCTAGCCCACCCCATCAAACACCAATCATCTCAAACAGCCCACAAATGACCTGAGAAGACTGCATAACAATCTTGCCTAGACCCCTGAAGACACAGTCTGGGCTATTGAAATAGTTGATACAATAAGTTGTTTTATGTCAGAGGCCTAATGAATTCTAAGTGATACTACCAGTGGGGTGCTGAACAGACAACTTGAACTTAATGCAAACACTCCTTCTCTGGATATGTAAGCAGGCTGATCAGATTTGGATCTTGTCATCTGTGAGACATCCTGGGTTGCCTCCTGGGTACAGCAACATCACAATAAAAGGTTTTTCTTTGGGAGATTTTTCTTGTTTACTTTTTTCTCATTTTTTACTAGTTTCTATTAATTTAATCGAATTTAATCATATTCACACATACCCACTGTTATAATTTAAAAAAGAAACAGCAGGAAGGAGTCACACCATACAACAGGGCTCACATGGGAGATTTATTAGAAGAGTAGAGAGAAGGAGCAGAGAAGGGACAGAGAAGGGGGCAGAGAAGGAGTGTTTGCATTAAGTTCAAGTTGTCTATTCAGCACCCCACTGGTAGGATCACTTAGAATTCATTAGGCCTCTGGCATAAAAACAACTTATTGTATCAACTATTTCAATAGCCCAGACTGTGTCTCTGTGTCTTCAGGGGTCTAGGCAAGATTGCTATGCAGTCTTCTCAGGTCATTTGTGGGGACAAAAGTGGTGAAGGAGAGAGAAAGAAGCAGACAGAGAGAGAGAAGCAGACACACATATACACATACACACACACACACACACACACACACACACACACACACACGAGAGAGAGAGAGAGAGAGAGAGAGAGAGAGAGAGAAGAGAAAGAGATGAGAGGTGGGCAAGGCACTCCTTTTAAAAGGGAATGTAATAAATGTTCACAGGTGGTGCTCTTAGTGGCTGCAGCTGAGGGTGTGTCCTGTTAGAACCCCAAGGACAGACCAGTACAGATAGCTGAATACTAACACCATTCCTACCAGATCCACTGGTTAGAGAAGAGTCAGTTTCTTTTTAGGTGCCACCCTCACCCCCAAATGCAGGTCACCCTCTAATGAGGTCACACATCCAGGAGTATATGGAAAGCATAGGGTTTCTCTTTGTAACAGCCTTGGCTGTCCTGAAACTCAGTCTGTAGACCAGGCTGGCCTTGAACTCAGAGATCTGTCTGCCTCTGTCCTCTGAGTGCTGGGATTAAGGTTTGTGCCACCACTGCCTGGGTTTTTGTGTTTGTTTTTTGTTTTGTTTTGTTTTTGGTATTCTTAAGTGAAATAAGTCCAAAAGCTTCCAGGAATATTAGTCATTGGAATTCTTATTCCACACATGAAGAAAAGGAAAGTGCACATATAGATTAGAACATCAGACTCTGTGATTCGGTGTCATCCACCATATTTGACAGGCCAACCAAGAGCAACTCACGTTTTATTGTTGTATGGTCTGTTCTGACAAATCTCTGGGGATAGATAGTAAGGGGTCCCAGCACATGTCTGAGCAAGTTCCATGGAACTAGGAAATTAGAGTAAATAAAAAAACATTTCATTAGTAGAGTGAGAAAGGCTGAAGACATGACTATGCAAGGAAAATTGGAAACATGGACAACAAAATTATATTTGTGCACACATTGGAAGAAAGCAAGACATTTCACATGAACAACAATCTAATAAAGACACTAGGTTTTTAACTTTACAATTCAACCCCCAACCATGTGTGATGCTGTGTGCCTTTCATTCCAACAACTGAGAGGCAGAGGCAGGCAGATCTCTGTGAGCTGGAGGCTAGCCCTGTCTATATAGTGAATTCCAAGACAGCCAGAGATATATGGAGAAGCCCTTGTCTCAAAAAGCAAAACAAAACCAACCCCCAAAATTATACATACATACATACATGCATAAACATACACATACATACATACATATTCATATGGAGACAGAGAGAGGGAGAAAGGGAGGGAGAGAGAGAGAGGGAGGGAGAGAGAGAGAGAGAGAGAGAGAGAGAGAGAGAGAGAGAGAGAGAGAGAGAGAGAGAGAGCACAAGAAAGTCAGGCAAGGTGGCCCAGGAGTCTATATTTCTAATACAGGGAAATGAAGGCAGAAGGATAAGGAGTTCAAGGCCAGCCTCAGCCACATAACAAGTTAAAAGCTAGCCTGGGCTACATGATACCCTATCACACACACACAAAGTATATATGGACTAGGAAGGAAATTAAGAGCACCTGTTCTTCCAGAGCACTCAGGTTCAGTTCGCAGCACTCACACTCTGTGGCTCACAACCACTCCAGTTCCAGAGGCTCTAATCCCCTTTTCTGACCTCCACAGGCACCAGACTTGCATATGGTATACATATATACATGAAAGCAAAATACTCATGCAAATGAAAGAATCTAAAACTATGTTAAAATATATACACATATGTGTGGTGATATATTTATGATTTATTATGCTTGCCAGAGGATTCAGAAAGCAAAGTCAGCCACAAGCCATAGAAGCCAGGCACATACCTTTAACCCCAAAATTTAGGATTAAGAGGTAGTCAGACCTCTGTTAGTTCAAGGCCACACAGAGCTACGCGAAATTGATCCAGTCCTAAAGAGAAACAGCTCACACAAAGGTGATCTCAGCACTTGGGATCACATGCCTTTAATCCCAGGACTCATGAGAGGTATTTAAGACAGTAACAGGGTCTCATAGCTGGCATTCATTCTCCAGCCACATTGAGGAGATGAAGGCATATAGTCTCTAGCCACATTGAGCAGAGTATAACAGTCTGAGTGAATCTGAGGCACAATGAAGTCAGAAGCAGTTTGAGGATCACCCCTTTGGACTGAGCTGAGGTAGAAGTTAAGAGCTGGTGGCCAGCTGTTTTGCTTTTCTGACATTCAGCTTGAAGCTTGAACCCCAATATCAGTCTCTGGGTCATTTATTTTTCATGTTTCACATATATCTATATATTTTTAAAAAAGTTACACATATCCTATTGGCTAGGTATATGAATGAGTAATTGCCCTGAGTCATAGCACTTCAAAATGGTAATAGTAGTAGTAGTAGTAGTAGTAGTAGTAGTAGTAGCAGCAGCAGCAGCAGCAGCATAATTACATATATATTATGATTTAAAGACTCCACAAGGCAGAATTTTTATTTAAAAATTTCTTAGGTATAATAAGATTTCTGGTTTTTTCCAGCTATCAATGTAATGCAATTGTGTGTTATAAAATTTGGAAAATGAAAAAAGGAATTAGGCTGGAGTGTAGCTCAATGGCAGAGCATCATGTGAAAGGCCCTCGGTTTAAATCCCAACATCATCAAGAAAAAAAGTTTTTAATGAATAAAACATTTAAGTCACCTAGAGTCTGAGTATCCCTAAAACCTATGGTGAAACTCAGGTAAGCTTTCTTCCCACCTGCTTCCACATGTATGTTCTGTATAGCTGTCACCATGCTTGCTGTTCTTATAATTCAGAATTCCACTTTGCTCATGTCACATAGCAAAATGTTTCCTTATGATACCAAGAAGTCCACAAAACCAAGTGGGTTTTTTTTTTTGACAATATAATATATTCAGAAATGTTGCTTTGTTGTGCTTCAGAGTATCCCTGCCACCATTCGATTACTCGAAATTTATCTTGAGAAAGTTTTCTTGATTTTACTTTCATTAATTTGTGTGTGCGCACACATGTGTGTACGTGTATGGGAGTGACAAAAGAGACCAGAAAAGGATGCCCTCCCTGGAGCTGGAGTTACAGAAGACACCAGCAGTGGGTTCTGGGAATCAAACTCAGAGGAGCAAGCACTCTTAAGCTTTGATTCATATCTGGGGCCCCACTGACAGGCAGTCACATGATTCAACAGATTCATTCATAGTCACCTGAAATTGTGGGGATAATGGAACTTTTGTCATCTTAAGTCACAGTGCCTCAAAACGAACACTTTGTCCATTTGAATAGAAAGAAAAATAGAATTCCACAAGTACTTACTTACTCAGTGCCCTTGCTGTTCCAAAGTCCCCAAGCTTTGCAACCGTTCCATTCTTGCTGAGAAAAATGTTCTAAAAGTGAAGAAATAATATGTTCAGAAAAAGATTAAGAGTCTCTGCCGTCTTAGACCATGTGTCGGGGCTGCTACCTGAGATTTTATATCCCTGTGTAATATCTTGCTGTCGTGAATGTGCTTCAATCCTAGAGAAATCTGTACAAACCAGCACAGGATCTGCAGAAGGGAACAGAATAAATCTAGTGAGCAGTCTGCTGGCCTCTGGTGCAGGTTCATGATGACATGAAAGATGGGGAACAGTAATAGAAATGAGGCTGCTGGTTATAACACCCTAATTCCATCTTATAGCCCAGAAAGGTACCTCTACCCGCTGAGTCATCTTTCCAGTCCCACGTGATATTTTTTTATTTTAGATTTATTTATTTTATTTTATGTGCATGAGTGTTTTGTCTGCATGTATGTAAGTATGTAAATCATATGCATACCTGGTACCTGTGGAAGTTATAAGAGGGCATTAGGTTACCTAGACCTAAAGCTACAGATGGTTTGTGAGCCACCATGTGTGTGCTGGAAACTGAACCTAGATCCTCTGTAAGAATAACAAGTGTTCTTAGCTGAGTAGCAGTGGTGTACACTTTTATTCCCAGCATTTGGGGGGCAGAGGCAGGTGGATCTCTATGAGTTTGAGGCCAGCCTGGTCTACAGAGTAAGTTCCAGGAGAAACCCTGTCTTGAAACCCCCCCCAAAAGAAAAAAGAATAATAAGTGTTCTTGACATCCTGAGCCATCTTTCCAATCCTGTCCTCATGACTGTTTTAGACATGAAGTTCATTCTACATAAAATATGATGGCAAGAGATATTTTCTCCAAAAAAAATCATTCTCAAAACCAAATTCTATTTCAACTACCAAGAATATTCATCCATGATTTTATGATTCAAATTTCCCCACCAAAAACAGGCTTCACATAGCCTAGTGTGTAGAACATAATAATTTAACACTGAAAGCACATTAGACTTACCTGATCTTCACTGAATAACACTCCCCTCTGCCTCTGGATCCTCTGCATGAGATCCCCTCCATCACAATATTCCATTACGATAAACAGCCTGCTATTCTCTACAAGAAAACAGCATCATTTGGTACGGGAGCTTTTAAGATAGCATTAGCCTTTCAAAACCTAGAATGTGAAGACTACAACAGGAAAGTGCAGTGCATATGAGTGGGTGTGGCCCACTAAAGCATTTGCATTTCTTCTTTGCCTATTGGGCCTCGACGACAAAGGGTTAATTCTGTGTAGCCCAGGGAGTTAGCATTGATTGTCACCCTGATAGGGTCTAGACTCTCATATGAGGCAAATCTCTGGGCATTTCTGTGACAATTTCTAGATTGGATAAATTAAGGAGAGGAGACCCACCCTCAATGTAGATGGCACCATCCACAAAGGGTGGAACCCTTAAATGAGTAAAATGGAAGGTGTGAGCACAGAACAATTGCTTGAAGCCATTAGCTTTACAGCCATTTATTTCAGGGCAACAGAAAACAAGCACAATGGTGCAGAGATTTGTGTCTATTCTGCTTGGCATTTAGAGTGCTTGACTGTAGAACATGCTTAGCACTAAGAGTTATTTACTGAGGGAAGTCATTTTGCCTTAGGAAAACCACTAAATTCTCCTTACTTTTCCTACACTGCTTCAAATTCATAAAACCTCATCTTTCATACTAGCCAGCTAACTTTTGAGTCAATCAAAAGCCAGGTGGGCCTGACCTAATTACATGACTTATGTAATGCTGAGCCTGGAGGTAGAGACAGAAGCAATGAGTGATTTCCAGCGCTACTTCCTGGTCACAGAGTTTCACTTCTTGTAGAGAGTGGCCCCTCATTAAAAGCCAGCAGGAAAGTGGGAACAAACATGAGACCATGGCTCTTGCAGTGGGAGATGAGTTGTTGTAAGAGGGCTTAGCAGGCAAAGGCACTTGCTGCCAAACCTGGGAACCTAAGTTTGATCCCCAGAGCCCACCAGGGGGAAGAAGGAAAGAAATGATATGCACAAGTTGTCTTCTGACCTCCACATGTACGCTGTGTCACACAAGCATTCCTATATACACGCACTGAGACTAGCCAGCAAAGCCTATATTTACAGGTTCTCACAGTCAGGTGCCTCCAGGCGTTGAGGCTCTTGGCTAAGCCAGAGTTTTAATTGCCAACAGCTGCCAAGCAATGTACAGGGGCAGAGGAGGTCATTTGTACTGTGAGGTGGCTTTAGCAGTGTAACTGTATCCACTGCAAAGTGTCTTCAGAAGTCCACCTTACATGGACTAAATGTGTACTCCAGTCTATTAAAATGGTCCATTCCAGTCACTCATTCAGCAACTGTATATTCAGCATCTACTATACACCTCATGTAGAGGACCAAAGTGCATATAAAAGCCCCTAAACTCATTAAATTAATGTGTGTGTGTGTGTGTGTGTGTGTGTGTGTGTGTGTGTGTGTGTGTGTGTGTGTGTGTGTGTGTGTGTTTGTGTGTGTGTGTGTGTGTGTGTTGCTAGGAATAAAACCCAGGCCCTCATACATACCATACAAATTGTTCTGCCACCAAGATACATCCTGGCATACCAACCATTGCCTACTTTGCAGAATGAGAATTAAGGAGAGATGCAAAAACTTATCAGGGGGAAGCCATCTGCAAAAAGTCCTGTAAAAAGTCCCTCAGCACTAGGGAGGCCAACAAATAGGATCTGGAGGTTATGCTCAATTACACAATGAATTGAGAACAGCCTGGGCTACAGGAGACCCTGTCTCCCAGGACAAACCTCACCAGATCGGAAATAAAGACAACATTTTAGATTACAATTTAGCTACAGGGAAAATTAACATACTTACAAAATTTAATAAATACACATCTTGGGAACACATCTTTTATTTTATTTTTTTGTTTTTATTTTTTTTCGAGACAGAGTTTCTCTGTGGCTTTGGAGGCTGTCCTGGAACTAGCTCTTGTAGGCCAGGCTGGTCTCGAACTCACAGAGATCTGCCTGCCTCTGACTCCCGAGTGCTGGGACTAAAGGCGTGCACCATCACCACCTGGCAATAAAAGACTTTTAACCTTGGTTGTTCAAACTATTTCAGCAGATTTATAAATCATGTAAAGTTATTTATACAATGAATGTATGGGTTTGGGTGTAGCTCAGTTGGTAGAGTGCTTGGGAACACATCTTTTCTAAAGGTCATTGGTTTATTGGGATACTTGAATGACAGGAAAAATCTAACCTTGAAATGCACTGAAGAAGGTTACAATGTTGGGATGCTTCATCTGAGCCAGAAGAATCACTTCTTTCTTAGAAGCTTCTTTTTCCTGGAAGGGCATCAATGCAATATTTCGAGGCAGCATGTCTTGCAGAGGTAACTGGCATATAGAGGCATGCTTCCTGCTCACTGCCACCCGAAATCCCCCAAGGTGCCACTGACTTTAATGTCATGTCTAAAACATATCTCATGAAGCAGGGCCACTATGGGATGAGCAGAATGCCTCATATCTAACCATTAGCTCATCAGTGACAGTTATAATCAAGAAAATTAATAATGCTGGGGAAATATTATTGTAGTGAAAGTTGGAAATTGGTTTTACTTGATACACAACTGTATTCCCAGCTACCTGGGAGGCTGAGATCATCCTGGACAACATAGTAAGGTCCTGTTTCAAGAAGTAAATGCAAATTATAAATAAATTAGTAACTAGATTTGTTCTCATTATTGGAGCACCTGTGAAATACTTCATCCTCCAGCATAAGCAAATTCTTTCTAAAACATAACATTCCAAGAGCAGTCACTACTGAGAATAAAATGGTCATATGCTACAAAAACAGACCAGCAAAATTCTGTATTCTGCATTTCTTCATTTTAAGAAATAAGTCATACATGCCTGTAATGCTAGCACTCAGTAGTCTGAGGCAGGAGGATCCCAAATTTGATAACATCCTGGGCTACAAAGGGAGATCCTGTCTCAAAACAAAAACAAAAACCAATTTCTTGGGGCTGGCAAGAGGGCTTAGCAGGCAAAGGCACTTGCTGCCAAACCTGGGAACCTAAGTTTGATCCCCAGAGCCCACCAGGTGGAAGAAGGAAAGAACTGATATGCACAAGTTGTCTTCTGACCTCCACATGTACGCTGTGTCACACAAGCATTCCTATATACACGCACTGAGACTAGCCTGTCTACATATCTAATCTAGACCCTGCCTCAGAAACAAAGGAAGGAGGGAAGGAAGGAAGGAAGGAAGGAAGGAAGGAAGGAAGGAAGGAAGAGAAAGAGAGGGGGAGGAAGGGAGGGAGGGAGGGAGCATGAAGGAGGAAGGAGGGAGGGAGGGAGCAAGAGGGAAGAGGGAGGGAGAAAGCAGGGAAAGGGAAAGAAAATTGGAAGGCACAGGTGGGTCAGCCAGGGATTCAGCTATCACAGCATGTGTCCAGCATGATGACAAATCCTTTGTTCAGTGGGGGGGGGGGGAAGAGACACCAAGAAAGTGAACGCAATTCATGTTCTTGGACTGGATTTCAAGTGTATGAAAGAGAGTCAACTGAACCATAAAATTCACAATTGTGTACAGGGTATTTGCTTCAATAATAAACTGACCGGGGCTGGAGGGATGGCTCAGCACTTACTGCTGGTGCAGAGGCCCAGGTTCGGTTCTTACCACCTGGATCATGGGACTCACAATTGCCTGCAAATCAAGTTCAGGGGCATCCAATACCCTCTGACCTCTGCAGGCACTTGCACTCACACGGTGCAAACAAACTCATACAAGCACACATAAATACACACAGTAAATAAATCTTTTTTGGGTTGGGGGTTTCAAGACAGTGTTTTTCTGTAGCTTTGGAGGCTGTCCTGGAACTAGCTCTTGTAGACCATGCTGGTCTCCAACTCACAGAGATCTGCCTGCCTCTGCCTCCCGAGAGCTGGGACTAAAGGCATGCGCCACCAACGCCTGGCTCTAAGAAATCTTTTTTTAATGCTAAATATACCACTTTAAATTATCAAAACTTTGAACTTCTTAACTTTACCTGTGTAAAATCGACCTCTTTTATGACGCAATAATTGCTTTCTGTTTTGTTTTTTGCCAAGTATACTTTCCCAAAGGTGCCTTCCCCGATGATCTTAATCAGGTCAAATCTATCCATTGTTTCAGGGGTCAGAGGTTCCTAAAATGAAGTCATAAACCTTCACTGTACACTTCTTATGAGAACTAGCCAGCAGAAGATAAACAAAGGCAAAGGAACTGTTTGCTAAAACTTTCCACCCAGCTTTTCAAGAGTCAAGAAATTTCCTTATGACCACAAGTAATGTCATGCATGAACAGGGTTTGGTTGGTAGATTCCAAGCTCACAATGGATTGCAGCTCAGTTTTGTGATCTTAGACAGTCACCACCTCACAAAACCTTTCTTTTCTAGCTTCTAAACTGGAAAATTACTTGTGTTTGAAGGAGAGACACCTCACCACATTTGCTTGGAGCCTCTAAAGAGATGAAGTCCTAGGGCGGGGTAAGCACTGTTCACTCTTAGTGGGAGGTACTGCCCTCTACAGGGAAGCCTGGGAATTTATTCTATCCGTGTTTTTGGTTCTAGGGACGTGGGGACATTATGGTAGTTAAGAGGAAGTTAGGGCCTGGTGTACTAGCTTTGCCATTCAAAGGTCATTGGTCCCACACAACAAGGGATTACCACAAAGTCCCTGCATACATTTACGTTAAGTGGAAACCCATTCACAATGATCTGCCTCTAGAACCAAACTATCTCACATCTAGCTAAGTATCTCCCCATGTGGATAAAGTAGTACTGGATTTCCTAAGAATAGAAACCAAGGTTTGGTTGGGTCTGGGGACTTTCCTACTAGTTGTACCCCAATATGAAACAACACCCGGTCTACTGGCTGTACAACTGCAGTCGGTGGGAGGTCTAGAGTTCTAGCAACCATGGTCAGGTGACTGTCCTGTCACCTGGCTACAAGTGTTTACAGGAGGAAATATGCACTTTGTTGTAGGTTGCTTTCCTTCCTTTTCCCATATATGCCACAGTGAGGGCATAATGGGTGTTTTTGTTTTGCTGCACTGGGAATCTAACCCAGGATGGCATACATGCTAGGTAAGCATTCAACCACTGAACTTTATATCTAATTCTTTTGGGGAACTATTATTGAAATTGGTCTAAGTTGTTCGGGTAGGCCTTGAGTTTGCTATCCCCCTGCCTCTGGCACAATGCAGATTTCTAAATCCCTGGGTGGTCTGTTGGGCAGGTTGTTTTAAAATAATCTCAAATCAGGTGGGTACTGGGTTGTTAGCAGAGGCTGAGGCCCACAAAGGGGGTGGGGAGTGGGGAGTGGGGGGTGGGGTAGTTTCCAGGACTTTGTAGCTTGTGAGTTGCCATGGAAACTGACGCTGTGGTCTCCTCCCACCTGGTTGCCTGGTCGCCTGGTCTCCCCCCACCTCTCTCCCCAGCCTGGGACAGCTCCTGAAGAACAAACACGGCGGGTGGGCTCAACCTACCTGCTCAGCGGGGTTTGTGCAGTGAGCCTTTAAGTGTCCAGGCAGATCTGGCCCCTGGTAGCTATGCCTCCAGGACGCTGGGGCAGGGCCACCGTGGGAAAAGTGGGCGGAACGCTGGGCAGGGAACTGAGCAGGAGACCCAAGGTGCTCCTTTCCAGTTGCCTGAGGTCGGAACCCAAACGCCAAACAAGCAACAAAGAACATGTCTCTACACCCCTGTGCTGTGTAAGAAGTAAGTCAGAGGATCAGAGGAGGAAAATGAGAACACTGAGTTCGACCTCAAAGCGGGGCCAACACACTTTTTATTGAGAGAGGTTGGCAACCTGAAGCTCGATGCAGAAGGGAGCGCAGGTCTGAAATTCGGTTTTATAGTGGAGATTAGGGAGTGGGGAGAAACCGCCTTGGGGGCAAACTTTTCCAGAACTTTGGGGTGGGAGATCAGATTGCTTTGTTGCAACCTTTGGGTTCTAGGGTGTGTTGGGGTGGCTGTTTTCTAGACTTCTATT